CGATGTTTACTTTTACTAATTTCCAAGTTTATCTAGAATGCAAAATATGATGATGCCTAGAACTAGATGATAAATATACCTTGTCATCTACTAGAATCCAAACTGTTTGGCTGTGGTAGTGTCTCCCAGTTTCTTTGGCACATCATTTCAGAAATAACTCTCAAGCTTACTGTTGAGCTGACTGAGTGTTGGGGCCATTAAGAGTGCTCAGCAGATGCTCAAAAAGCTTCTACTGCACACCAGTAGGCCTTTGTTGTAGGAATGCACTTAATAAAATGGAACTCTAGAGAAATGCAAATGTACCAGGCAACTCTGAACCACCTTGATTTTGGATGAGCTTTATTAACTAGCTATGATTCAGACATTCCAGCCTTTGATAAATGGACTGCCAGCTCCTCCTCACCCAGAAAAATGAAGCTTTAGAATGGATTTCTTCCCTTATTCCACTCCATACTTCTTACAGAACTGACTTTTCAATATAGGCTTTTCTATAATGCTTATGAAGATCTATTTCAAATGCTTATGAGAACACCATGAAATTAAACGGACGCAGCCCAATTGTTTAAGACATGTTTACTGCAAATACTTCAGTCATGTCCTTATGCAAAGGTCCTCATTTTCATCTATACCAGAGGTGATTACAGTCTTCCCAAAACTGTAGATTGTAAAGTCATATTTTATACTACAGCTAATAAGAGGGACTTCAATTATTACTTAGTGTTTCCAAGCTAATCCCCAAATGCCTCAATATGGCATAGAACATCCAGGCTAAGTGCACTTCTGCAAAAACGCTTTCCATTAGTTTACTACACTAGAGTCTTGGATACATAAGTTAATTCTGGAGAGTAGGGTATATTCATATACCCTACATATAAGCTGTACTTTGCAGCTATTGCTTTAAAATACCCCCACTGATGTACTGTTAAAATCACTACTAAGAGTTGTACATACATCTGAATTCTTGAACTCGGCTTCCAGAGTAGTCCCTAAACTGATTTAATTAGCATTCTTTGAATTTATGAGAGTATACATTAAAAAGAAGCAGTCATCAGGAACAAAACTCTTTGTCAACAACTTTCAAATAAAAATCAAAAAGCACTGCAGAATGAAGGTTACACTTCGTTAGAACTCACTCTCCCAACTATTCACCAAATTTCTTCCAAGTAATTTCCTCTTTTCTTTGTTCAAATCAGTGCAAGAAGTCAGAAGTGATTGGGAACGCTTTCACACAAGCACAGACACGTGCTTGGAATGTCCTACTTTGCACCTGTGGTTCATGCCAGAAGTATGTGCCTACGGTAAAGTCTGAGTAACTAAAAACACTATGGGATATAACTACTTTAAAATTATGTTACTAAGGACTTACTGCTTCCTGCTTTAAGGATATTCATCTATTTCTTTTTGTTTGAAAACTGTACTGGTTGGACTCAGTTATCATCCATCCATAAGTAAAAAGAGGGGTTTCATCATTCTGCTCCTAGTTCAAATCATGTTGCCATGGAAGCAGATGTTGAATTGATGAAAATAGGTCAACTGTTCAAAAAAAATCACTGGTTTAATACTTTGAAAAATACTATTATTTTAATTCTTGTTCTTATTTTGAATTTGTTCATATTTAATTCTGCACTTCTCTAATGAGCATTTACTTCACTCATACAATACATATTCCCACTAAAAATGCAGACAGTAGTAGAGTTAGTGTTGTTAATGAAAAAAAAAAATATTTTGCATAAATCTGTAGGGGTTGGGTACAGAATGCTTACAAGACTACCACACACGTTCTTCATCGCTTCTATAGTGAGTGATATTAAATGTTGCTGCATAAACTGTTTCCATTTGAAGAGTATTGGCATTGTTATTAAAAAGCACCAATATTGTTTGAAATGAAATTAAAATAAATCAGGACACTGCTGATACCTATGCTTGGCTTTGGCAGGAGCAGAGATTTTTCTGTTTAGCTTTGCATTGGATATAAAAATATTCAACTGGCGCCTCAATTATTTAAAACTGATAAAAATATTTAAAGACAGCTAGGATTTAATTAGGTTACCCCATCAATAGAACACGTGAAAACATGCACAGCCAACTAAAAGAAATCTTCCTTAACATTTCTGCACTGCCTGCCAAGCTGCTGTCAAAATAGCATAAACACACCGTAAAATGCTCATCTTCACCTGCAGCAAACACCAGAAAGTTAAATAACTCACCCGTGTCGTGTTTCGGATTCTCTACTAGGTGACCCAGACCAGTTTTCTATCAAAGCCCTGACATATCCAAATTTTTTCCTATCCTGACACTGATATACTTTAGATGCACCAGGTTTGTCCTAGAGGTTTAATGCGCTATATTCTGTTCCTGGATTTTTCTTTACAACTGAAATGCAGAGTTTCATAAATAAAGTGAAGGTGCATGGGAATATTGCCAATACATGAGATTTGTGCTCTTTTCATAGTTCAGAGATCTTCCTGTAGATTAACTAATACCTAAAGGAGAATGGCTCAGTGGTGCAGAAATCCCACAAATTAAATCCAGCACAAATGTACTACAGCACTACTGCATGTCTTCCAGAGAGTTTCTTCTGCGCTGGTCCCTAGTGAACTGGGTCAGACAGCTTCTCCCCGATCAATTCCCTAATCTGGTTCATCATGCACCAGACAAAAGAAAGTCCCAGTGTAACAGATAAGATGGGAACAAATATCCAGGAAGCAGAAGCAAAACCAGCCTCATCTCTTTAAGCTGCCATAAATCTACGCTGCTGCTGTTCATAGTCCCACAGTGTCTAGCAATCCTCCCTTCTTTCCACCTTTCACAATTGGTGTTTTAACCTGAATATATAAAGCAGAACCTCTGATCAAAAAGAAAAAATTCTCAATGTGAGCACGTTTAACTGTCAACACCACTGAAACTATCTTCAATGGAAGGAGAACTCATGTTTGCTGCGTTCATTTTCATACAATAAAATTTCTTAATAAAATTTGCTTCACTTGGGAGAACTCTCTTGGACTCCAGAAAGTTCATAACTTGTGTCACAAAACTTTTTGCAATATTGTACAACCTGAGTTGTCTCTCTCTTAAAATAACTAAAACAAACATACAAACAGAAAGCCAAACCACACTGGTGAAGTTGTTAAATATAATTTAAAATGTAGTGGAAGACTGTCCTTATGGAAACTGCAAAAGTATTGCATTTCACATTGAATAGTTTTGGAACTGTTCATAACCAACATTACAAAAACATCACATGGATTGTTATGATGCAGAAACATACTATAATACTCCTATGATGGTTTGATCTTTGTGTTTTCTCAGACAATAAATACTTTGTAATAATACAAAAACAGCCACCAAAAAAAAAAAATAAAATCAGACCAGCATACTTAAAAGTCTCAAGCATATCAGGCAGTTGTGACTAAAACTGTTTTTTAAATATACCTTTTCTGACCAGTGCATTATGGCTTGGTTTGTTGTTTGTTTGGGGATTTTTTATTTTATTGAGAGGAAGAGAAAACTTGACTGTAACTTTTCCTCTCCTCTGGATCATCCAGCATCCAACAGGCCTTCCATACAATGTTAATTATAGATTAATGGTCTCTGCCAAAGTTGTTTCTTTGTGTAATACAACATTTCCCCCTCTCCTTCCCACAGTCCTAATTTACCTTTTCTCTCCAAACTTTCTTCCTTTTGTTTTCTGAATCTCCTTTTCCACAGCATTTATAGATAATTTGAGATGCAATGTTAAAAGGAAATTCCAAGAGCTACCTAATTAGCATGCTGCAATTCCTGTCACCTAAATAATATAAGAGAATTTGAATTCAGAGACCAACATACTGCTATTCTCCCTCTGGTCTACGAAGAAAGAGAGGTCTGCCTAGAGGTCACACAGCCAGCTTACATTCAAACAGATAAGAGGAGAATACACATCAAGCAAAGGCAAAACCAGCCCCATCTCTTTAAGCTGCCATAAATCCTTACTGCTTACATTTAGTCATATAGTTTTCATAATATGATCTCTCTAGATATGTTGTCCAGTAATGAACTATATAATTAATCTAGCAAATTAGTTTTATATTAAAATACATCACTAAGGTTAATGGAAATGTTCACACATGCATAATAGAACAGCACATCAGGCTGCTTGTAGACTCAAACTTCAGCAAACCAGTTGACATGATTCATATTTAGAGTTAACTCTGCAAACCTGAAGGTTTGGAAAATAAAACTCAAAGCAAGCTCATAATTCATTACATGACATTTAACACCTGTAAAAAGAACAACCAAGAAATATGTGCTCCTGAGGCACCTCTGTAAGAAGATGCACTTTAATAACTACACATACACAACCCAGACTTTTTCCCACAAGAAAAGCAATCCAGGCCCTAAAAGCTAAAATAGCATAATGCTGAAAGTCAAAGCAAGGCAACATAAGAAAGCCCTGAAGGAAAGATATATCTTTCTTCAGAGCAAAGTCCTGCAATCTCAGTTATGTAAAATGCCCACAGTCATCCCTCGTTGTCTGAAAAGGAATGACACTCAAGTGCTTACTACATAGAATTAGGAAAAGATTAAACCCAAACACTGTTACAATCACTAATATTTGCAGTCATCATACACAGTTGTTTCAGTTAAGCCTTACAGGATACATCCATAAAGATTATGGATGAAGCCTTTTTAAGATATGCTGGGGTCACAAACCAAGCAGCAAAATACCCAGTTCAAAAAAAACATGATTATTTTGCTTCTTAAAATAGCACTACTAAATAACTTGGAAAACATGAAGCAATAAATACACAGTATCTTGGGAATGCATGGGAAAGTATGGCAACAGCATTCACAGTACACGAAAACACAGAAAAGAAAGCAAGAACTTGAAACACTTCTTCGATAGGGAAACCTTCATTCCTTTTTAATATGAGGGGTAGGGGAAAGTCTACTTTCTGCTATCACTTCCACACCTGTTCATGTTATTTGCTAAAACATGCATTGTTTGAAGGCAGACTTACCTCTACCAATGCCACAGTCAGAACAAGGTCCATTTTTGAGTCCGGGAAAATGGCATCCACTTGTGGAGACATTCCAATCAGTATGCAGTTCGTAACAACTGATATTACACTCATAGTTTCAAAAGCCAACTGAAATGAAACACAAATATATTTACAGTTATGACCATTACTTCTACTTTACCAGACCCCAGATTGCTCTGGACAGTATCTCTCTCTTCATTAAATCCTCAGAAGATCCATTAGTTTAATTTTTTATTTTCCCTCATCTTTTGAATTCTATGACTTAAGGCTTGTTTGCCAAGCTGTCTGTCCAGATTTCATGAGCTTGGCAGGCAAAGACAAGACCACAACAAGGTTTGAAATATAACAAAGATCATCTGGAAACCCTGAATGTTGCTTTGATTTTATTTCTCTATATGCATGCATGTGCATTTGCTATGAAGTTAAACAGTATTCTTTCACAATCCCATAGCACTGCAAAGACCTTGAGAAGCTATTTAGAGACCGCTGACATTCAAGATGGAGGTAATGCCAGGTCATCTCCTGAAAAATTTAAAATCTTTATGATTCGTAACCTGAACACATAAAAGATTATGTACTCATCTACAGTTGTACTACTAAGCATAAATTTATTCAAGGAAAAAGAAAAAAAGCAAAATACCTAGACGAACTAATAGTCCTAACACTGTTTCTGAAGGTTTTGCCTGAATGTTAAGTAGTAGGAAAATGTAGGGATGGTTCAGAATGCCTTCTTTTAAATCACAGTTAGACAAGATGAAATTTGTTGAATGATTTACATTTAAACACATGCAATTGTACAAGTCTAAGAAGTTCTTGCCTACAGAGCTCCCACAAAATGTCTGAAAATATTAATACAGTTTAACAATTACATTTGCAATATAATGGTTACCTATTCCAAGGTCCTGTCTGGAATGAGAAAGACTGACATTGAATTGGAGCAACTGTCACAATGAATTAGCAGAAGTAACTTTCTCCTTGACAACAAGCTAGTGACTCAGCTCACCTGATAAAATAATTCCAATATTCCTTTAACAGATATCTTTCAGTCAATGCCCTAATTTCCCACATGAAACAGATGACTTGAAAATCTAGCTATCATTTTTAGTTCACAAAGCAAATTCATTTCTACTATTAGTTAAAAAATGACACCATAAAAAAAAAAAAACCCAAAAAAAACCTGTACCATTTGTGTGAGAATTTTTCAGTCTACCCCTTGATTGAAACAAACTATTCCAGCAAGACCAAATGTTGTTAATATACCAGCAGCTATGCTTCTGACTTATGACCACAGCCTGAATATTCTGGTGGCCACACCACTGGTCAATGCAGCTATGTCACCATGATGCTGGCAGCATAGATTTAGACTGAAAAATACATCCAATGTTAAAATGCAACCAGATTATAATCCACACATTTTAACAGTATATTCACAGAATCACAGAATATCCTGAGTTGGAAGGGAACCACGAGGATCACCAAGTCCAACTCTTGGCCCTGCCCATGAGATCTGCAAGAATCACACCATGTACCTGAAAGCATTGTCCAAATGCTTTCTGAACTCTGTTAATCATTAAAAGACTTCTCCTATAAGTCAAATCCATTAATATCTTTGCATGTGTCTAATGAACACTGCATAGAATACTTGGTTTGCATGTTTTTACAGTATGTTTTACTTGAGGTTTCATGATTTAATTTCTCATCTCTCATTTGTTTCATTTGATAACATTTACAACCCCTCCAAATTAAACAATACATTAGTTCATTGTGCCCTTTGTCTCCATTACATATCACTAGAAAATTGTTAAATAAAACTAGGATATGGCTCATCCCCTAGAAAGGTCCCCCAGTGAAGTTCACACCTCCTATCAAGCCACTGCTGTTACAGAATGCTAAAGTCTCTGAATCCTTAACCCAGTTCTACCAGCATGAAATTATTTAGATAGACTACAGTGTTCAGGCTGTGCAGAAAGTTCCAGCTCCTGCTCACAGATCCAAGTTATTTTAAAATTAGTCAGCTTGAATACCAGCAATCACAAAGGCACAAGCCAAGCATGGCTTAGGAATCCAGAACTTACCTATTCCTCCATTTTTCTGAAGCCCTTGCTGAGCTCTATACTTCCAAGATTGCATCAGATGTTGCTATTTCTAAAATACATTAGCTATAAACAGTGTCAGGCAGTATCTGGAAGCTTGCTGCAGTTGCAACAGGAGTACAATACATACATATACAAGAACTAAAGGAAGGATTTGGTTTCTTTTCAAAGGCAACTGAAAGACGTGGTCTCCCTTAAAAATCACTTGGATATAGAGTTGGATAGATACTGTTCTAGGGCATTGAAGAGAACAAACTATCTACTAACTTTTAAAGCAGCTGATGGATCAAACACACAGCTAATATACAATTGTTGAAACTCTTTTGCAACAAATGAATAGAAAAAAAAGACACAAAAATTACCTGCCAAACACCAATGTTTGCTGTGGGTTCTGCAAATGGACGCTTGTACACTCTGCACATCTTTAAGGCATCAGAGTATATCTCTGTGACGTTGTTTAACACTGCAAAGACAGCTGCCAATGGATAAACACATGAGAAAAGACTCACATAGCCAAACTGTAAGAACAACTCCAGGTAATCATCAAAAGTACCCTGAAAGAGCAAAATAGGAACAACTTTAAGCCACAAAAAAACATATGAAAAAACACAGAAATAACAATACAGTTGTAAACACATTTCCTCATCCAAAACCAGTTGTTTGGGAATGATTGCTGATAGAAAACAACAGTAAAAATCCCTATCTAGTTGATTTGGAATTCCTCAATTACTCAAAACTTCTTACATGGAGAGGCCAAGGTTTTTCCTTTTGCCTAATGCATTTTCTGCAAGTCACACTTTTTATCCTTATTACACAAATCACAGAATAATCAGAGCTGGAAGGGACCACTGAGGATCACCTAGTCCAACTCCTGGCCCTGCACAGGACATCTCCAAGAATCACACCATGTGCCTGAGAATATTGTCCAAATGTTTCTTGAACTCTGTCAGGCTTGGTGCTGTGACCACTTCCCTGGGGAGACTGCTCCAGTGCCCAACCACCCTCTGGGTGAAGAACCATTTTCTAATATCCAGCCTAAACCTCTTCTGATGCAATTTCAGACCATTCCCTCAGGTACTGTCACTGGTTGCCAGAAAGAAGAGGTCAGTGCCTGCCCCTCCACTTTTTTTCGTAAGAAAGTCATATACAGCAGTGAGGTCTCTCCTCAGTCTCCTCTTCTCTAGGCTGAACAGATGAAGTGACCTCAGCCACTCCTCATATGGCTTCCCCTCAAGGCCCTTCACCATCTTTGTTGCCCTCCTTTGGATGCTCTCTAATAGCTTTATATCTTTCTTAAATTGTGGTGCCTAAAACTGCACACGATATTCAAGGTGAGGCTGCATCAGTGCAGAGCAGATCAGAGCAGGACAATCACCTGCCTTGACCAGCTGGCAATGCCTTGCCTGATGCACCCCAGGACACAGGACAGTCCCACCTGGCTGTCAGAGCACACTGCTGGCTCATATTCAACTTGCCATTGACAAGGACCCCTGGGTCCCTTCCCTCAGTACTGCCTTCCAGCATCTCATCCCCCAGCCTGTCTGTACAGTATAAACACATTCATCCTATTCAAGTTCCCGACTATCTCAGTGAAACAGTAAGAGAAGGAAGAGTGGGGAACAGGAAAACAGCACCATGCATTTAAACTGTCAGAACATTTCTCTTAAGAGCATTGTAGCATTAAAAGTCCTAGTATTTCAGACTGTTCATGAGAGGCTAAACCAGAAAGGTAGGCTGGTAGATAGGCAGCTCTTTTCTGGTATTTCTGCTTGTTTATTTCCAAATGGGTAGGTCAGAGTCAGTGGCCCACTTGGAGGCTGAAATGGCACAATACAGCACTGACATGTGAAAGGAATGATTAATTGCCTGATCTTTGAACTAAGAATGTGGGTACTTAAATGTTGATTAAGTATTCACATGTAGGTTTATTATATATTTGCATATTGTTTTAATACTATTAATAATAGTTTTCTGTGATTGCAGTAATTATTTATGAAAGAACCGAACCAACAGCTTTTAAGGAAAAAGCATTCACTGAACACAGGATGGTGAAATAGCACAAACAAGTTAAACTGGGATCCAGCTATCTTCTATTTACACTGACCCACATATTGTCCTCTGTCTCTGAACTTATATCATAAACACTTGACAGCAACTGAGATTATTCCAGGAACCACATAAAATTGGTTTTGGCTCCATGCATTAGATATATTTCTTGACTCTTTTTTGCCCATTACAGCTGTTAAACTGCCTGCTCTCTCCAGCACTCAGTGCCTTTCTCCCTAGCAAACAGAGAGAGGCAGTAGAAGCCTGCAAGCTCAGAAATCAACATGGGGTGCTCCCTTGTTACATTTTTCACTTGAACTCATTTTTCAGTCGCACAGTATAACTGTGTCTGGCAAACCAATCTGCAGGCCAGACCACGCAGAGCTACCTAACTTTTAAAGCTACCAGGATTTTTCCTCGGAAACATTTTGTACAAACTATGAATTTTACTAAGGTCTTCCTTAGGGGCATTTGTGCAGGAGCACTCACTGGAGCAGCAGCCATATATCTGTTCCTGCTATCACTTTCTCAGGCAACTATTGCAAGCAGAGAGCAATGCTTCCCTTTGTGCTCCTCCTTCTGGTAACTCCACAGTATTCCCACTGCTTCCTCACACCTTTCTTCTCATTGCCTTGCCCAGTACCTACTGACTCCTAGAACAGCAGAGTGTGAAAACAAACTAAGTATTTATTTTACTCCTACTCAATCTATAAAAATGTGTATAGGAAAACAGGAGTCTGATACGATGCTAAACAAATTTCTAACTGTGCCATCGTCAGCCACAAGATCAGCATATGAACTACAGCATCAAGGAAACAAAACCAACAAAGACATCCACTGAGAAAATGAACCAGAGAAGCAGAAATTATAAAAATAGTGTAACAAATTCTTGCAGAATGTTTTTGCATCTTATACAGGGTTAAGGGCTGGAGATTTGAAAAGTGAGAGAGAAAGGGGACAAACAAAATAGAGGATTACATGTTGAAGAGTATGTGAAGGAAGGAAAGAAAACAAAAGAAAAGAGCCTGAACACAGAATTCTGTCAAGAATCCCGCTAAACTCCTCAGTTACTAAACATAGTCAAATGCCTCCCCCTTGTGACAGTTTTAATTTTAGAAATATTCTTGCCTGCTGACATCTCACTGCTTGCAAACAAGTCAGTGGTCTAATACCCTGTATTCACAAGTGCAGCACGATTATAACCTTTAGAGTGAATATAAGATTAAGGCCTTGAATACACAGTACCTTGAACTGAAACTGGGGCTAGCAGTGGGCACATGCAAGGCAAAGTCCTAAGTCTACTTCTTGGGTCGCCGTGGAAAGCTATTCAGGACACAAGGGTACAACAGGTGCAGATTCATTTGATCTGCCTCTGCACAAGAAGCACTGGGCAATGTGACTCAAAGACACCACACTGGCTTTGATTGTGCCAGCTGAGAACCATAAGTCAGCTCAGGTCTAAGAGGCAGAGCTTATTTGGTCAGGCAGAGTAAGGCCTGATGCTGGCAAACACTTTTGGAGTTGTGCTGGCCAATGTGCAGGCACAGTGCTGGATATACTAGTTTGGACTCTAACTCGGGGATCTCGGCTGTGTTCTCTATTGCAAGATAGACATGACTAAATCTATCTCCCTCCATATCAAATGTGGAAAATACCAACCTTCACAGAGGAACACAAGTATTAACATTTGTACAGTTTTACAATTGTAAAGGTGGTGTTTCTTTCTCCTCTTCCCGTTTCATGGCACTTTGTGCAGGAAGAGAGGAAGCTGATATGGCACTAGTATCAAATTTCAAACTGCCAATCTCTACCTTTTATATAAAAGGCACACAATCTATATGTAATTCTTTTTCTGTTAAAATATAAATCATACAATAGTAAGACTCTTTGTGATTATGCTTGTGATCAAGCAAGTGATGAGCCAGACTGTAAGGCCTTCACAAACACACTGATGTCTACTTTGTCAATTCCTTTAGAACTGCAAGTAATGAATGACATGAAGCCTGGCAAACACAGTTCAAAACTGTACTGGGTAGGAGGCGGTCAGGAACAGAACCAAGAAGACAGTGAATGCCAAAGCTGTGGTTTCATGAAGTAAGAGCTTCCAAAAGTAGTATTCTTTTGAAAAGCTGGTTTCTTCTGCCCTCTTCATTTCTGGTCTCATGCAGACATAAACACATTCTCTCAGACTCTAGTTTAACTCACCATTTAAAGTAGCAGCACTACAAAAACAAACTAAAGCAGAAACCACCTCCCTGTTCTCTATGGCAGGCTACTCATCCTGCTAGCCTTCGGGTTACCCTTGGATATTAAGGAATCATAGAATCATAGAATCAACCAGGTTGGCAGAGACCTCAAAGATCACCAAGTCCAACCCTACCGTCGTTAGTGCACCACAGCACTAAGTGCCACATCCAGTCTCATCTTGAAAACCTCCAGGGACGGTGAATCCACCACCTCCCCAAAGGACACACTACACAAATAGTTCTTCCAGTGTGATGGCGTTAGGTAGCTCCAGATTCAGCAGTTCATTCCTTCCCCTTCATTCTGGTGTAACTAGGGTCCTGCACTGTATCCATTTCCTGATCCAGAGTACCATATAGCTGCACAAACAATATTATCAGCAAAACTGATGAAGCTGTAAATAAGCTGCCAGGCCAGACAGCCAGAAACAATTTTGTTTGCCCTGGCTGCTGTCTATCAGCTACAGGAAAACTTTTAACTCTTTTACAGAAGTAAAACATACCAAATAGGTCCCCATTTCTTTCTCCATGTTGACTTGTTCAGCTAAGGACAGGTCTGTATCAGTTTTCTGAGAACACATGCGTTTCTTCATCCTCTTGTTATGTCTCTTTTGGAGCCAGTAAGGAAGCAAGGATTCTGCAAACTGATTGAGGATCTGCGAAGTTATCAGCAAGGTGGCCAAGCTCTTAAGTTAAAAAAAATTAAATTAAATTATTAGAACTGTGATAAACCTACAAGCATTTGCAATTCTTTGTGTTCTAGTAACACCATAAGTTATTACAGTGTGACAAAAGGCGGCCAGCCTAACAAACCTAGAAACAGCATGTGGAAAGCATAGATGCTCTAGTTCCCATTCTTTGTTATGTGCTGAAAAGGACAAAGTAGGAACTAAAAGTCTAAATATTTTGTGAATCTGGATGTACCTTGGAGACAGTACACAAAGTCCAATGCGAGGTAATGCAGACCTAACATATGCCAGTGACAATCACAGAGCTAAACAATGTATTTTTTCCTATTTTTTTTTCCTTTTTGCTTTTACCTGAAAGTATAGGAAATATCATGTCTGGTATAGATATGTCAAGTGTTTTGCTGGAGACCACTTTAGAGGAACAGAGATCTTGAGTTGAAGTTCTTGTTGTACTGCTCATTATGTTTAGAGCAAAAATATTTTCCTTAGACCTGATTTTCATACATTCGAGCGTGAAAGATATTAACATCAGAAAGTTGATGTAAAATACTAACTACAAATTACTTTTGCTTGTATTTATTCTCAGATCCTTACAGCAGTCATAAACTTAATCATGCTCCTATCTTCAAGAGTCTCTCATGAAGAACACTACAGAGAAAACCATTCTCTAACATAAAGAGAAATAAAGAGGAAATTAAAATTTCCCAGCCTCATCTATGTGAGGAAATAATCAATTTATTTGAAAACAGTTCCTCATTCATACAGAGAGAAAGAACTGCTCTACTCTGCTATGATTCTGCAACAGTGCTAGGGGAACTGAAATATGAAAGCTGGATTTCCTAGAAAATATATGTGAAATATATTAACTGTCAAGTTAATGTTTCAGAATAACAATTAAATACTAAAGTCCTGTTTCAATCAGTCCTTTATTGTCCCAGATTGATCAGCATTCTTAAGATGTCCTTGGAACTCACCTGCCTCAAAAGCTTCATATCAAACAGCACAAAGGCAATGTAGAAGAGAGATGCAAAACAATTCAAGAAGTTGAACTGCAAATAAAAATATTTGGTTTCAGTACTCAAGCAAAAGTTCAGATGCAGAATATCATCTAACTTAACAGTTACCTTGACTAAATCACTTCCATGCAGATGTAAACTGTTCATTAACAATTTCTTGACCATTTTTAAAACTTTGATCAGAAAAAAACACATTTTCAATATTGGTCTTACTCAGATTTTCACTTGACAAGCTTAATCCTTTCCTAACGCACAGTGCACGGAAAGAACTACAATTCAATTATGAAACGTGGACCTGAAAAACCTGTCCCTTGCTTAACTTTCATTTACTGGCAATTCCTCCAGAGGTAACACTGCAAAAGGAACATACTATTCTTAATTTAATGATTTTAAATTTTTTTTTAAGAAATACTTTATCAAAATATAAATGTTGGATGACATATCTCTCAATATTTACAACTGTACCTTGCTACATGTCAGTTGAGCTTGATTGTTTAATCACTTCAAGAGGTTTTATGACCAAGAGAAATATTCCTTACTTCTAAAATGAGACATAATCACAGTATTGTACTTGAGAAATTATCAGGCTCGGAAGTTTCCCACTTGCTATCAGTGATGCAGCTCCTGTTTTGGAGCTCCTGGGCAACACAGATAATAGTGGGAGTACAGAGAGCCATTTGTAGGTTGAAAGTGAAAACTGTGGGGAACTTAGACTTGGCATTTCATAATTTTAAAAATTATTTAATATAAATTTCCTATGGGGAAAAAGAGATGGTGTTGAATTTTTTTGAGAAAGTCAGAGACAAAACTCTAAACGATATGTACAAGAGTTTTAGCTCTAGAGGTTACCAGTAACAGATGGATAACAAGCGGATTTAAAAACAACAACAAAAAAACCCCAAATAAACAAAAAAAAAAAAAAAAGATAAAAAAAGAAACTATGCTGAAGGAAATAAGAAAGGAACTCTGAAGAGACTTTAGCAATCTTTTCAAAACGGAAACAAGAAGATTAAGTAAACCAATATTTGCAACTGCTTTTACTGAATATCCTATATGTGAATTCAAGGTTTACAGTACAGTTCTTTAGAATCAGTGTTGCATCTGGATATATACCTAGAAGAGCAAACACACACACACACACACACATACACACAAAAGCAGGTTGTTTAGAGCCAAAAAGTAAACAGAGCAGTATATACTACAAACTGCATGAGAGCAGACTGATGGACATGTACTTCCAGCTTCCTCTGACTGAATGCTAGTAGAGGTGGAAGTTAATCTACAAACATTTTAAAATATGGTTTACTATAAAGTTTTGCAAAAATTTAACAGAATAATTTCCAGTTGAAGACAGGGCCACGCCAATTAACAGAGAAACTTACACATACAGAATCCTGATGAAAGAAAAAATCGATACAAATAAAAAGCCAACTCTCCACTATAAAAAGAGGCATCTAGTACAGTCTAGCAGTTACTGCAACCATAACAGAAATCTTGTTTACTCTGATATTTGTGATAGTATCTGGCCTTGAACAAAACTGCAGGTCAGTGAGGTAATGCTAAGAAAGCACTAATAAAACACAGGACAAGTTGTCTTTTTTAATAATCTTAGAAGTTGCTTATACTGCATACTTACCACTAAAACCTTCAGAATTAAATGGTTCTGATATGAAGATTCCAGCCTATGATTTTCTAAAATACCAACAAAATTATTGATTAGTAAACAGCAGAAGCTCTTATCATATTCTAGACATTGTTATACGAAGAATAAACAGACACTCTTCCCCCACATAAAAATTACTTATTTAATAGTTTACGTTCCTCCAACACTTTATGGTAAAAAGAATTTCTACTGTACCAGTATCTCATTTAACCTATGAGGCTAATCTGATGCACAATATTATCACACATATTCTTGGCTACAACTCCAGTATTTTTCCTACTGTAAAGGTTTTTCCTTTTATATATTTCTTACTCAGAAGAGCTGTTCTATAACAGAAAAAACATCCATCGCTCTTAAGACTTAACAAAATGTGTCAAGTTATTGATTGTTCTTTGACTGAACACTAATGTAAGACCAACGGGAATATATTATGAAAAGTAACAAGACCAAATTTGATTCAAAACCAGTAAATGCTCACAGAAATACTCCCATCTCAAAGGACTTTAGATCAGACCCTAAGCTTTAAAGCAAGACTAGAGTTATGTGAAATTCAACAGACGCATCACTCATTCTAAATCAAGATTTTTGCTTTGTTCAAGCTAAGCTGTCAGAAGCTGGTGTTTCAGGGAGGCTGGTTACAAGTGGGGAGAAAGGAAAAGGGAATGAGAAATTTCCAGTTTCTTTCTGCTGTTTTGTCAGATTGTACCTTTAAAGCCCTGGCTAAGCAGTAACGGAGAAGGCAGCACACTAGCATGGGCTGTGTCAACAAGGCTGAAAGGAGACACCGTCACCTACAGACCTTGCTTAGGGCAAAACAACAGAGTTCTCCTCTGACAGAGGCAACAGGTATGCTTAAAAATACCCCAGATTTTTTCCTATGCTTTGTCTGTTTAGCTGTTTAAGTCAGATATTAGCTGAATATATGCCAGGTGGGATGGAAGGAAGGACAGCCAGATGAGCATTTCAGCCTATTCAGAACACGGCAGCATCAAAACATAGGATAGCACAGAAAAGACACAAGCTGTCAGTGTAGCAAGTTACATAAGTATTGTACACTGCTGAACACGCAACATCAGCTTAAGAGAAAAAAAATCTGGGTTAAAAAATCCCCTTGATTTGCCTGTTTAAAACATTTTAGTCTGATTATCTGACCCACACAACTGGGTATTTTGAAGAAAATCTTTTTCTTGCAGTGTAGTAAAAACAATGAAACAAAACAGTCAGTTGAACCCTAGGTTTGAATTTTAAAATCATTTTTTAAATAAAAACTTTGAACAGCCACAAACAAATCAAGAAATTGCTTGCTTTTACTATTATGGCTGTCAGATTGAATTTGCTGAGCAAATCATTTTGGCATGCATAACCAACCCCCACTTCAACACCTCTTTTTATTCTGTTTTCTGCATTCATCTCCCTTTTGCTTTATCCTTCTGTTAATTTTCTGGGTCTCCAGCTTTAGCAACCTGGATTCTGTCCTGCAAATGAATGCCATATTGAGCTACACAAAGCCACTAACTCTCCATTAGCTTCATCTATTAACTCTGTCCGAAAGTGACTGCACACGTCTGTAGAAGTGCTAAAATTCAAAATAAACACTAGCATTTCGCTATCCTTATGTTTGGTTACAAAACACAAGGCCCAATCTGTTAAATAAATCACACAGACAAGGGGGAAAAAGGCAACCTATTATAACATTCCTCCTCTTCTGAGAGTGCCCAGAGAAGCGTATTTTGATAGGGAAGTGATATCTTAGTCTCTGTTGTATACGTAGCGTACACACTCTCATGTGACATTTAGTTGGTGGTTTAGATTTTGCCCCACTATCTCACTGCGTCTGCTCTCTGCACAGATGTATCAGTAGACTAAGACATACTCAGCAAACATGGGTTGTGTATGGGACGTGCCAAGACACTCCTTCCTGACATCCATCTCTGAGCTCCTATCCTCATGCTCTCAGCTCATGTATTTTGTCAGCACCATGGACAATACAGCCAAAGTGCCAAGACAGGGAAGGGGGACTTCTGCACCAAAGGCAGAGAGGGGCAGGCTCACCCCTTCTGATGACATGTCAGTCTCAGACCAAATTAAACCAACTGTGAAACTCAGAACACTCAAAATAAAAGTAAGACTTGTAAATGGCCATCTCTTTTACCCCACAGTAAAAATCTACTTCAAGAAATTTCTTTAGCATTCTGTTGAAGAAGAGCTCACAGTAATGTATTCTGCAAAGAAACAAATTCTAAGCATCTGGGGTTCTAACTTGAAGGAAGAAGGATAAACAACTTTCTTACCCCAGGATGTTAAGAATTCAGCAGCATACCGATAGATACGGTTCATAATTTCAATCACGACAGCATATATGATACTGGGCACATACAGCATCAAGCTGCTGAAGTTAGACTCATTCTCTCTATGGTAATCCAGAGCCCACTGTTCCAAGTCAAAGTAAATCATCATCACGTACAGTGAGAAGTAGAGGCAAAGGCACACAAATGGTAAGGACACCAGATAAATCCGTAGCTGTCTCTTAAGACTTGAGTACACTGGTTCCTCCCTCCCAGTTACGGGATTGATACCCAGGACACCATGGAAGCCTGATCTTGGCTCTTCAAACTGTCGTTTCATCAGCAGTGTCCCCCAGCGGTATGTCAGGATGGCGCAAATCCGCTTCCAAACTTCCAGGATCACAGTTGACCAGAGTAGATTGAATGTGGCGAACATCACGTATTTGTCATAATCTTCCCATGCAAATACATAATAAGGAATCCCAATGATAGCCATTGGAATCAAAGCAAATGTGAAGTACTCTAAGAAGCCGAAGTAGAGAGCAATGGTTTCACCAAAGTAGCAGCGTATGTCATCTGCAGATAGAAATGAATCAATTAAGACTACACTTAACACAGATGTCAGTACAATATCAAAACTGACTTTACAATAATCCACTGACCCAGGGTTCTTTTTCCCTAAATAACACAATTAATATAATTGGGGTTTTTTTCACTTCTCCTCCCATATTCCAAAAACTCAGGTGGTTATCTGATTTTTTTTGTTACATATACACACAAACATAAACATACATACACATATTTAGATGGTAAGGAAGTCTAGTATCTCAATACTTGCCACATCAATATCAGAGGGCAAACAAAGAAAAACCCCAAACAAACTGAAAACACTATCATCTTGAAAACAGAACTGATCAATGAATGGCTAGGACAGCATGGAAGACAATTAAATTAATAAAACCCAAACTTTAACAGCAAGTGACCCCTAACTTCTGAAGATTCTCACTGGCATACAAATGCCTAGGAAACAAATTTGTTTCAGTCTGCTCAGAGCCAAAAAGGGCTAAGTTGTGCTTTGACAATCCTCCAGGAACTAAAGGAATAGATGGAAAGGTATATCAAAATCTTAAACCTCAGACATGTCAGAAAGCACACCCAGATTGAGACATTCTCTTCAGCAGTCAACTGATACACGAAATACATATTTCCTGTATTCACTAAGTTTGTCTGCTCAGATGTTAGAAAGATTTGAAAAGTGTACTAGTAACAGATATATTTCATGACAGATATATTACCTCCAAGAAGACAAGATCTCAGGTACTTAAATAAATGTAGGAGTATTCATAATCTAGAAGTTGTGCCACATAAGAGACAGGAATG